GCCGCGCGCGCGGCGCCCCCCCCCCCCCGCCCCCCCTACCACAGCTCGCTCATCCGCGACCGGCCCCGCCCCCCGCACCTTCATGGGGTCCGCGAGGTAGAGCTTCTCGGCAGCTCGGGTGAACTCCTCCCAGGTCTGGTAGTGCGGCATGGCGGGAAGAGCTACCTCGGGCCGGCTCACTCTCACAGCTCAGCACTCCCTCCCTAGCGCACACGCAGCAAGATGGCGCGGGGGAGGGGAATAGACTCTGTATCGCTCCTCTCTATTGGACAGCAGGAAGAGACTGTCCAATCAAACAGTACGTTATTGAGGTGTTTCCCCCCCCCCCATAGCGGAAGTGCGGAAAGGGAGCGAGTTTATTCTGTTTGCGGAGCGTAGCTACTCTGTGCTCACCGGTCACAGCGCCACCTGCAGGCCTGGCGGAACAGAACTGTCCGGACAGCCCTCTCGGTTCAAAGAGCCCCTTGCCGCTTGTGACGGTTGAGGGGGTCAAGCGCACTCATTGGCTGCTGCGCCGCCCAATCAGGACGGGGGCTGTTACACTGTCAGCTGTAAGCGCGAGGCGTGAAGCTGGCTCCCCTAGTCGCAGGTTCTAGGCTTAGGTTGGACCCTGCTGCGGACTCGTGTCTCATCCCCCAGCCGCGCCCCCTGGCTGCTGTATCCCCGCGGGCCCCTGCCCGGGTGGGTGGCAGGGCACGGGGCTGCTACAGGAGGGTCAGGCCTGGGCCGCGTGGCTTTTGGTCCCTCTGAGTCTCACACCTTCAGGGGGAGCTTTGCAGTGGTGGGGGGCCCTTGGCTGCCCCAGGAGATTGGGTGGGAGTCTGCTATAGGTCAAATCAAAGTGTGTTTTCTGCCCCCAGAGACAGTCTCCAAAATGTGAAGTAACCACAGTGGGAAGGTGCCCAAACAGGCCAAGTCTTATTTTTAATTTTTTTTTAAATTTGTTTTGTTTTGATGGTGGGGAGAGGGGATTTTAGGGTTTTAAAATATTTGGTGTTAGCCGCACAGGACTCCTATGCATTTGGACTATATCAGTTTTAAGTTCATTGCTTCAGGTGTCTGGCTCAGGTTTGAACTCTGGCTTTATAGAAGCTAGGTTCTCAAGGAAGCTGTAGATGAATCAGCCCTGGACAAAATATGGCCCCAGGGCCCGATCTGGCCCACAGACACAGTGGGGAGGCCCAGGCAGGCTCCTCTGCTTGCTCTGCACTTCACTCAGAAAAGTAGCTGTGGGGGCATTTCTTTTAAAAATTGTGAGCCTGGAGGGGAGGGGGGAAGGCCTCAGATGTAACTCCTGACCCAGCACAAATATATTGGCGATCTTCTGGCCAGAAGCTGGCCAATGGGAGCTGCCTGTTTGACTAACAGGCAGCATATGAAGCACCATACCCCTCTCCCCTCTGGCTCAGTTATTCACACAAGCACATGGCTGTGCAGGCATAGGGAAGGCAGGGAGGGAAACTTTTTAAGCTCTGCAAACATTTAGCTTTGCAGGCAGACAGTCTGGTTGGGCTGCTGGCTGGTAAGTCTCCTGGCCAGAACTTGCCTCTGGCACCCCAGTCCCTCTCTTTCCCAACCCTCTGCCCCCCACTCCACTCAACATACCCAAACCCTCTGACCCCTTCCTGCACCCATGCCCCCTCCAAGATCTGGCACTCCAATCCCCTTTCCCAGATCACAGTCCCTTCCTACTTTAGGTTACAACTGAAACTCCTGCACCTCTGTCCTAGGTCACATTCCAAAACCCTGTACCCCAGTCCCCTGCCCTAGGTCACAACTGCCTCCTTCACCCAAACTCCCTCCCAGACACCACTCTTTTTCCTATATCCCAAGCTCCCTTCTGCACACAAACTCCATCCCAGATCTTGTACTTCCTCCATTAATATCATGGAAGAGTGTGGCCCTCGGCCACTTTACAAAATCTTGGAGTGCCCCCCCATCAAAAATTATTGCCTACCCCTGAATGATAAAATGGGGGTGAACAGAGGGGAAATCCCTGAAGGGATGATATTAAAAAATTAGGATCTCAAAGAAGAAAGGCTTTGCAGAAAGATAGTGAAGGAACCAAGGCTGCATGGAAATGGAAAGATGTGGAGGGGGTGATGGAGCATGGGCTTTTGGGATATGACCATAAGAAGGGCCATACAGGGTCAGACCAAGAGGCTGTGTCTAGACTGCATCCCTTTTCTGTAAAAGAGATGCAAATTAGACATATCGCAGTTGCAAATGAAGCGAGGATTTAAATCCCCCCCTGCTTCATTAGCATAAAAATGGCTGCCGCTTTTTTTCAGCACAGAGTGTTGCCGGAAAAAAGCGCCAGTCTAGACGCTGATCTTGCGGAAAATAAAGCCTTTTCTGAAAGTTCCCTTATCCCTCTTAAAATAAGGAATAAGTGATCTTTCGGAAAAGGCTTTATTTTCCAAAAGATCCGCGTCTAGACTGGCGCTTTTTTCCGGCAAAGCTCCGAGCTGGAAACCCTAGGCCACATAGGAACCTAGGGATAAAATGAGGGATGAGGGATAAGGGATCTTTCAGAAAAGGTTTTATTTTCCAAAAGAGCCATGTCTAGACTGGCCCTTTTTTCCTGCAAAGCTCCGAGCCAGAAAAAAGCGGCAGCCATTTTTATGCTAATGAAGCAGGGGGGGATTTAAATCCCCTCTTCATTTGCAATTGCGATGTGTCTAATTTGCATCCCTTTTACGGAAAAGGGATGCAGTCTAGACACAGCCAGACTGTGTCTGTACTGCACTGTTATTTTGCAATAACGAGCATTATTATGAAATAACAATGTGAGTGTCTACACAGCCATTCTGTTTTTTTGAAATAATTTTGAAATAATGGGTAGCTTATTCTGAAATCTGTAAGCCACATTCTGCAAGGAATAATGTCTATTCCGAAATAGCTATTTCAAAATAAGGAGTGTGTAGACACTCCAGTGCTGCTATTTCAAAATAACCTCTCACCAGGGCCATTCTGAGTCATTTCTCCCCAGTGCCTCGTGGGGCTCTAAATCGAGATAAATCGAGATAGAATGTCTACATTAGGGAAGCCTGCCTCTGGCTAATTTTGAGGCTCCCCTGCAGTATAGATGTGCTATTTCAAAATAAGTTATTTTTCAATAACCATTCCAGAATAGCTTATTTTGAAAAAAGCGTACAGTATAGCTGTACCCTAACTCTATGTCTAGACTACATTCCTCTTTCGAAAGGGGCATGTAAGTGAGGCAAATAAAAAATGCAAATGAAGCACGGATTTAAATATCTCATATTTCTATTGCATATTCTCATCTGAGCGCTTTTTCGAAAAAGGGTTTTTTGAAAGTGAAACACAGTCTAGACACGATTCTTTCAGAAAAAAAAAAAACCCTTTTTTCAAAGAAACCATACTCCGGGAAAAAATGAGGAGTTTTTTTCCCCGAAAGAGCTGCGTCTAGACTGTACTTTCACTTTAGAAAAACCCTTTCTCAAAAAAGCAATCAGATGCGAATATGCAATTGAAGCACGGGATATTTAAATCCATGCTTCATTTGCACTTTCGATTTGCCTCATTTACATTCCTCTTTCAAAAGAGAAATGTAGTGTAGATGTGCCCTAAGTGTGTATCTAGCCCAGTATCCTGTCTTCCTACAGTGGCCAATTCCAGGTGTCCCAGAGAGAATGAACAGAACAGGTAATTTCCAAGTGATCCATCCCCTGCCATCCATTTCCAGCTTACTAGTGAGAAGATGAGGCTGTGGGAGAATAAGGGAGAACTGAGAATATGGGGCAAGAGAGCCAAATCTGGATTTAAACATTTGTAGTAACTAGCAAACATGATCACAAAAGTTATGTAAACCCTATGAAAGAGAAATGGATTTATTTCAAAGTTGAATGTATTTCAAGTTTCCCCATGTTGGAAGGCCTCTAATTGAGCTGGAACTTAGCTATGTGCAGAATAGAAACATCTTTTGTAAAAATAAATAAATATTTAGGTTCTCTGTTTAGCTCAGACAGGTCAGCTGCAGCCATGTCAAAGGCCTGAGATTCAGGCTTAAACTGAAATGAAAGCAGTTAATTTTAGCAAGAGACTGAGGTTACAGAATTATAGTGTTCCTAAGAACTCCTGATTTTTTCTAAATTCATTTAAAGGCAATTAGTTTTAATTTTAAAAAGAAAAAGCAAGAACAATTGTGCATGCATTTTCCTGTAATTGTGCTGATTATAAAAGGAAATTGGTAGAACAGGTTACAAGTGAAAGGCTGAGACTTGGCAGGGGAGGAAAAAGGGAAGACTAAGGAAGAAGATATTTCTCTGCGTCAGTAAATCTGTGGAGCTTAGTTGTGGAAGAACCTTTATTAGTTTGTGTCAGCACAATTAATAAATTGCTCCTGTGGATATTATGTGTAGAATCAACAGTTCTGGTGGAAAGCGAGAAGAGAGAGAGAGAATGTACAGCAGTGAATGAAGACAATGTGTAAGAGAGAATCTTCAGCCTAACTTTTTCAGGTACTCAACTTCAGAAATCTTGGATGTGACTTTCAAAGGTTCTGACCACCTCAACTGTAATTGAATATAGTGGGTACATTGCTGGGGCCTAAGAGTGACTTTAGCAGGGTACGTCTAGACTGCAGAGTTTGTATCCCGGAAAAGCTCTGCTATGTCTAAGGAACGCGTCTGCTTTTCCAAAAAAAAATTCTGCTCCTGTAAACCTCCTTCCACGAGGAACAAGGGATGTTCCAAAAGAGGCTTTCCCCCCAACATTTGACCCAGTGTAGACAGGCCAAATGTCAGAAAAGCCTCTTTCAGAAGAAAAGCAAAAAAAAGATACACAAATTGCAGTTTGCATATCTTTTTCCGATTTTTCTTTGTAGTCTAGACACGGCAGCAGACTAGACAGTACAGCCCAGATGGTCTGATTTTCTACTATCTTGTATCTTGTGCAGTCCTTGACAGCTTTGCAAAGTGGGTATTGAAATATTACTGAAAATATGGAAATAGCTACACAAGGTGTAAGACAGTAGAAAATAAGGCCAAAAATAGTAACATTGGCATCAGATTTAGGCCAAAAGTTTCAAAAATGGCCTGTGATTCTGTGAGCCTCAGTTTTTGGATGCTCAGTGTGCATCATGATAGGTTTAATTTTTAGAGATTAAATCAATGGAACGTGTAGGTGCTCACTTCCTCTGAAAATCAGGCCTAATTGTTTGAAGTTGGGTACCTAAATGCAGAGGTTATTTCTGAAAAATTTGAGCCTTAATGAATGACCTGTTCCAGGTGCATAATCTGCCACTTCACTGTGTTGTTTTAAACTTGTTTGGATGCCAGAGTATTTTTTTTGTTCTCTTTGAAACATAGTCATAGCTTTGCAGTTATTTATAAGTTAGATTTTTGAGTATGTCCAAAACTGCCCACGTAATATTCAGGGAATATAGTTATATATATGAATCCTAGAAATTTTTCAGTGGTCTGCCTGTCTAGTGAAATTTAATGTGTATTGAACATCATGTGTCTGTGTGAGAAAGGTCTGATGTTGAGCCAATAATATTGAAGTATTTGGGATTTTTAAAAAAGCATCTCTCTTTAAAAAAGTAAGACAAATATTGAACTTCCTTTTTTTTTGCCCCCTTTCTTGTATAGTGTTCTTGTGTACTTTTCATTTAACAACTTATTCTATTGACTATGATTTTTCTATCACTGTTAGGGAGTTGTATATAGGAAACCTCCGTTTTTCTTTCTCAGTTGCATTTAATCTATTGTAGCTATAATCTCTTATACCACCTTAGATAATGCCTTTCCTTCCTGTGATTTTGTGCCATGAAAGCTTGTGAAGAAATAACATAAGCACTGATGTAGCTGAGTTGATCTCATATGTGCTTTTCCCTCAGGCCTTCTTTCAGCTAACCTCCATATGCATGATTAATGTTGTCTCCTGGAGCAAGCTTCTACGTGCATTGCTGCTACAAGTTCTGCTTTGTATAGTTATATTTCTGCATCTGAATTCTGCATGGGGTGTTCTTTGTTTTGTCTACCACCTTCCTTGTCATAAATAAAATGTTGAAATAAAAGTAGAAAATACCTTACATCATCACATTTTAGGGTCTGATTCTCAACAACGCGAAGCTCCAACAACCCATGACATTATGGTAACTGCATATGCTCAGCATTTCTCTGTATAAGACATTAGTTTTCCTGTTTGTCATGTTTTATGCTTTTGTATAAACTAAGAAGAAGACGTCAAAATTCCACATGCAAATATATTTTTCATTCCTGGATAGAGTCCTCATTATTAATTTTTGGAGCTTTGGGGTAGAATTTAATGCTTTTTTTCCCCTCGTTGCAAATGAGGGATGTAATAGTGTAGTCGACTAACCGATTAACCAATAAGCAAAACTTATAGCTTAATGCTATAGATTACATGCATTCCCCCCCACCAGTACATTTTTTAGCAGGCTGGCCAGCAGCCCAACTCAGTCCTGGCTTGTGCCTGGTCTAGAATGTACCCCTGGTGCGGCTTTGCATTTAAAGTGTATTAGGAAGCAGGCAGCGCAGCTCAGTTCCAGCTTGCGCCGGGTCCAGGAACTCAGACACACACCCCTTCTGGACAGAGGCTGCTGCCACCCTGTGCTGCTGTAGCACAGGGCATCAGGCAGCCAGTCTGCAAGGGAGCTGGTTTTTAAACTGGCTCCCCTTGTGGACCAGCTCCTGACAGGCACCCCACCCTGCTGCCTGATACAGAGGCAGCAGCGCAGACTGGCAGGGGGCTCCTCGGGAGTGGGGCCAGAGCGCACTGGCTGCCAGTCCCATGCCTGGGGACTATAGAATAATCCAGTAACCGATAAGAATTCATGAGGTTACTCAACTATTGAATTAACTGATATTTAACATCCCTAATACAGACATATATTAATGGTATTATTAAATAAATAAATTACTGATTTTCACTTCTGTAGCACCTTTAATCTGAGGATCTCTAAGGACTTTACACATCTTAATAATCATAAAGGTCCTACAAGATAATGAAGTAGTGCTTCAGCCATTTTACAGATGCTGAAAATAAGATTGGTGTAATTAAGTTTCCCAATTATTTCCCAAGGTCATATAATGACTTATTTCCAGAGCTGGGAATAGAATTCAGGATATATGATTGCCAGTCTTTTGCTCTAACCACTAGATCACTGTCATTTAATGAGGTGATTTTGCATAATATAATTGTAAGACTATGTAGGCCTATATTTGAATAGTCATTGAAGTGTCAGGAGATGGATCACCATAAATGTACTTCAGCCTGGCATTAACAGAAGTTGCTCTTTTTCTTTCTGGTCATTGCTCTGAAAACTTTCACACTATCCTGAGCGTTTTTATCTGTTAGGGAGATATGTCCTTCTCCGCTAAGCAGAGATGGTGCTCAGTTTAATCCCTTCAGCATAATAATTTATTCACAGTAATGTGCTGTCATACAGGAGACATATGGTCAGGAGCAGAATCTATATTGTCACTACTTTGGCCACGGAGACTGAAAATGTTATTGGTCTGCAGGGAAAAGAACAGCATCTGGCTGCCAGCTCACGAAGCAGCAATTGTGCTGCTTTGGAAGCAGTCAGATATTGTTAGTATTAACTACTTGTAGATTTCATATCACCATTATGTGGAATTTCTGAGCATACCAAAGATAGGGTCAGATCATCACTTTGTGTAAATGAAAGATGCATTGATCTCTGACATGACTCTGTAAATAGAATGGAGGTACTTACTTGACAATAGAGAGTCAAGGCTGATCTATATGTTAGTATCACTAGAGCCTTATTTAATTTAGAAACTGGTGTAGTTAAAATGGCACAACCCACAGTTATACAAGGAAAAAGATGCTTTTATAGGTGTAGTGTACAAGTATAACTGTCCGCTCTAGGGATTGTACCACTTCAGCTGCATTGGTTTCTAAACTGATGTATATGTACATAAAGCTGGAAGTGTATCTCCCATGACATGACTAGCAGGAGAGGCTAACAACCCCAAGCACATAACTATGGTCTCAGCTGTGATAGTATTCAGGGATGCTAGCCTCTTCTGCTTCTCTCAGCAACACTGCTTCACTTCTATTCTTAGTGTGACTGCTCAATCACAGCTAGTTTAGGTATCTCAACTTGAGCTGGAATTCATATCTTCCCAACTCCAGTATAGATATTCATAGTGCATAAACCATCTCTTACATAAAGTACATAATGTAGTAGAATTGTTACAGGCTGCTTGCATGCTGCTATAAAAAAGTAAGGCTGGAAGGGACTTCAAGAGGTCATGTCATTCTACTGCCTGTGCTGAAGCAGGGTCAAGTGTGTCTAGAACCATGTTTCTGAAAATGTTCCACGGAATCACTCTCAGAAACACGTTAACTGGCTGCCCCGGTTTGTTTATTTACTGGCACCACGGGCACGGAGCCTCGTGGCTCTCATTGGCTCCGTTTCATCCTTTGCAGCCAAAGGGAGCTGCGGGAAGGTTTCCCTCAGCCGTGATATTCCTGGGAGAGGGAATGCGGAAAAACCTGCTGATTGATTTAGGCTACATCTACACTAGCCTTCTTGCGGAAAAGCTTATGTAAGTGAAGCTTGGCGTGAAATATCTATTCATTTGCATAATTAATGAGCAGTCAGCTCATTAAGAACGGCTCTTATGAAAGAGGGGGTTTTTGCGCAAAAAGGAGCCGTCTACATGGCATTTTTTTGCGCAAAAGCCTCTTGCGCAAAAACAGCTGCTCATTAATTATGCAAATGAATAGATATTTCACGCCAAGCTTCACTTACATAAGCTTTTCCGCAAGAAGGCTACAGTGTAGACATAGCCCTTGTGTGAAAATTGGAAAATAGTTTTACTACAAAGTTTTGAGGGAATTACTGCACTTGTGTATGTGAATAAATTATTCTCAGATGTATTTTTTGTATCGGACACTGAGAGACTGTTCCTTTGCATGGACTATAAAAATGGGAAATTGAGGCAGGCATGTCATTGCCTACTGCAAAAGGGTGCCCAAGGAACGATTGCCTTATGACGTTATCTAACCTAAATCTCCCTACCTGCAAACTAAGCCAATATCGACCCATCCTGCATTTAGTGGACATGGGGAACAATAGGGACGTGAACAAATAGTCAACTGGTTGATTAAATGATAAGCCTAGGCTACAGGTCGATTACTCACATTTCTCTCCCCCGCCTTTGCTGCCTCTGTCTGTGGCCAGCCTGGGGGAGGCTGCTACAAAGTAGCCTCTGCCCGCAGTGGTCCTGGGCTCACCACAGGCAGAGGCTGCTTCATGGTAGTCTCCCTTGCCCCCTCCTCCTCTGTGCTGCTGCCTCTGATAGATGGGGGGATGGGCAGGCGGCACCGAGGAGCCAGTGTTGGGAGGAACCAGTTTTTAAGGAAAATATTTTTCAATCAATTTTCACATGCCTTATAATTTTATCTAGACCTTATTTCCATTATTTGCTCATGATACTGTCATGTGAAACTGTCAAAAGTCTTACTGAAGTCAGGACATTTCATGCCTGCTCCCCTTCCTAATCCAATAGGCTAGATATGCTATCAAAGAAGGAAATCATGTTGGTTTAGAATTATTTATACTTGACATTCTGTTGGCTATTACTTATCACCCTATTTTCTCATAGCAGATTGGAACACTGAAGGGGTATTGGTATTTTGTAGAACATTGGTGCAAGGAGAATTTAGATTTACATTTAAAATAAAGTTTTAAAGGAGATTACTAAAGTTTTTAGTCCCCTCTTCATTCTTGGAGTGGCATGAAACACTCAACTTTGTTCTAGTTTTACAACATTGTAAACCCTGAAATATAATACATATATGGCATGTTTTACCCAGACCTGGAGTAACTGTAGGTGTAGGGCATTCTACTGATCAAGAGACCCTGTAGAGACATGTCTGAAAGGCAGGATCCATGCCTTGAAGTACTTCCCCACATCCAGCTTGCAGAATTTCTATTATGCACCTTGACACAGAAGTCAGTGTAGATCTGAGCCTTAGACAGCTTTGAAAATTTAATTTCTTTCAGCAACAAACTAAGCCTATCAATTTGGCAACTTTTATAAGATTTTAAATACTTTCAAAAATAAGGAGGGAGGGCAAATGTCGTAGGAGTGGGAGGAGTCTTCATTAATTCCATGCAAGGATTTGTATTGTAGCTTTATATGGCAGGAGATAATCTCTGCCAAGATTTGAAATACAGGCAGTCCCCGGGTTACGTACAAGATAGGGACTGTAGGTTTGTTCTTAAGTTGAATCTGTATGTAAGTCGGAACTGGCATCCAGATTCAGCCGCTGCTGAAACTGACCAGCGGCTGACTACAGGAAGCCCGAGGCAGAGTTGCTCTGCCCCAGACATCCTGGAATCAGCCGCTGATCAGTTTCAACAGGCTGAATCTGGACGCCAGTTCTTACATACAGATTCAACTTAAGAACCCCAGGCATCCCCAAGTCAGCTGCTGCTGAAACTGATCAGCGGCTGATTCCAGGAAGCCCGGGGCAGAGCAACTCTGCCTCAGGCTTCCTGTAGTCAGCGCTGGTCAGTATCTCAGCAAACAGCTCCAGAAAAGCTGCTTTATACATCCAGAACTTCTGTAGCCACTGGTCTTCATGCCCTACATGCATGACAATGTGATCCCACCACTTAGTGCTGGTGTCCTAGCCCAAAAGCGATGCTCTACTGTGTGCAGCTGATTTGCGACAGCCAAAATCAGTTTTTTAAATGCAAATCTTTCTGAGGGATAGAAATATTTTCAGTCAGAACATGGACTCTCCTTTGTACTTCCTTCATGGACAGGAGCAACCAAAGAAGGTCAATGCTGTTAGGAGCACTTCCATGTGTTGTGAGGAGGTTTTTCACCTGAACCAGTGGTCAGGACACCCCACATTGCAGAATTAATGGAGCTGTTCCACAAATGAAGGGAAACCTGTGAACCACTCCCTAAATTCTGCAGGGTATTACTGTGTATTGACTGTAAATTGCCTTGGGCAAAATTCAGTTCTTGTATTTGCCCATTAACGTTGTTGGAGTTGCATGGGTGTCAACAACTGGTCTCTTGTCATGCAGACCAGAAAGACGCAGAGCAAAGCCGCGGAGGGGCTCCAGCAGCGGGGCAGCCCAGGCGCGCCGCGGCTGTCCCGCTGCCGGCGTCCTCAGAGGCTTTGCTTTCCGTCTCCCTGGTCTGCTGGTCTCCAGCAGACCAGGGAGACGGGCAGCATACCCCGTTCGTAAGTGCGGAT